CAAGAAAAACCCTCTTGCGCAATGCCATTACACCTACTTTTCAGGAAGAATGGCATTGCACAAGAGGGTTTTTCTTGCGCGAGAAGGGGCAGTGTAGACGCTCCTTCTTGCGCAAGAAAAACCCTCTTGCGCAATGCCATTACACCTACTTTTCAGGAAGAATGGCATTGCACAAGAGGGTTTTTCTTGCGCGAGAAGGGGCAGTGTAGACGCTCCTTCTTGCGCAAGAGCCTCTTCTGAAAAAAATGGTGGCTCATTAGGTATGCAAATGAGGCTAAGCGTGGACTATCACCGAGCCTCATTTGCATATTACTCGCGCAAGAAGCCACGAGCGTAGACATAGCCCAGGGGTTCTCAAACTTTGTGATACCACGACCCCCCTCTAAGTTGTTCGCGACCCTCTTGGGGGGTCAGGACCCACAGTTTGAGAAACGTGGCTTTATAGCATTCATGATTTTATAAACCTCTATCATACCCACCCACCAGTGTTCCCTCTAATCTGCAGGGCAGCACAGCTTCACAACAATCAGCTCTGCCCAGTCAGTCAGTCCTGAGCCTGGAAGAATTATCCACAGTGATTCCAAGATCTCCTTCTGTAGCACTAACAGCTAATTTAAATCCCATCATTTTGTATGTATATTTGGAATTATATTTTCCAATGTGCTTTACTTTGGATTGAATTTCATCTGTCATTTTGTTGCCCAATCATCCAGTTTTGTAAAATCTCTTTGTAACTCTTCGCAGTCTGCTTCAGATTTAACTATCTTGAGTAGTTTTGTATTATCTGCAAATTTTTCCATCTCACTGTTCATTATAGGCCATTTTATCAATATATTCAATCGGACTGGCCCCAGTACAAATCCCTGGGGAACACCACTGTTCACTTCTCTCCATTCTGAAAAGATGACCATTTATTCCTACCCTTTCTTTCCTATCTTAACTGTTACTGATCCATGACAGGACTTCCTCTCTCATCCTATAAAAGCTTACTTTGCTTAAGAGCCTCTGGACAGGAACCTTGTCAAAGGCTTTCTGAAAATCCAAGTATACTATATCAACTGGATCACCCTAGTCCACGTTTGTGGATCTCTCAAAGAATTTTAACAGACTGGTAAGGTATGATTTCCCTTTACAAAAAAAGATATGGACTCTACAACAAATTGTGTCCATCTATGTGTCTGATAATTTGGCTGAAGCTATAGTTCAAATGTTCCTGGTATTGAAGTTAGGTTTACCTATAATTGGCCTATAATTGCCAAGGTTGCCTTTGCAACCTTTTTAAAAAAAATTGGTATCATATTAGCTATCCTCTAGTCATTTGATACAAAAGATGAGCAAGTGATAGGTTGTAAAACTCTCTTAGGGTACATCTAAACTGCAACACAATTTCGAAATAACTAGCGCTATTCCGAAATAATATAGTCTGCATCTACAGAGCAGGCAGTTATTTCAAAATAGTGTCAAACTACTGTCAAGCTGGAGGACTTCTTGCTCTGATTCCTGTAACCCTCATTGTATGAGGAATAAGAGAAGTTGGAGGAAGAGTGCTCTATTTCGAAAAAAGTGCTGTGTAGATGCTCCCTATTTTGAAATAAGCTACGCAATTGACAGCTCAATTTGCACAGCTTATTTCGAGTTAAATCCTGCAGTGTAGATGCACCCTTAGTGGTTCCATAATTTCATGTATGAGTTCCTTCAAAACTCTTGGGTGAATGCCATCTGGTCCTGGTGACTTATTTGCTATTTAATTTATCAATTTGCTTCACAACCTCCTCTATTGATACCTAAATCACGGACAGTTACTCAGATCTATCACAAAAAGAATGGCTCAGGTTTGGGTCTCTCTCTCAATTATGAAGACTGATACAAAGAATTTACTTAGTTTCTCTTCAATGGCCTCATCTATTGAGTGCTCTTTTAGCACCTCAATCGTCCAATGGCATCACCGATTGTTTGGCAGGATTCCTGATTCTGATATATTGAAAAATGTTGCTGTTATTCTGAGTCTTTGGCTAGCTGCTCTTCAAATTCTTTTTTGGCTTGCCTTATTATATTTTCACACTTCACTTTGCAGTGTTTACGCTCCTTTATTTTTCTTATCTTTTGTTGTTTAACCATGGTGGCACTATTTTGGTTCACTTATTATATCTTTAATTTGGGAAACACTTTTAATTTGAGCCTCTATGATGTTGTCAAGTTTCCATGCAGCTTGCAGGCTTTTGTTGTGACTGTACTTTTTAATTTCCATATACCTACCTTTTTCATTTTTGTGTAACTCCTCTTTCTGAAGTTAAATGCAACTGTGATGGACTTCTTTGGTATTCTCCAACCCCAACAAGGATGCTACATTTAATTTTATTATGGTAGCTATTATTTACAGATTTAAATAGGATGTAAACGAAGGAGAAAATCAAAGTAGTCAACATATTTTTGCTATAGCAGTCTTTACAATTTTGAATGTTACTTTATACATAAAGAAAGCAATTTAAAAGCAACCTGCAAATAGGAGAAAACAGAATCTGTTCCTTCTTTGACGTGATGTACAGAAGAAGACAGGTGGGTTTTTGTTTAAAAAGAGTTTGTTTTGTTTCTTCATCTGAAAATTTAAGCCTTGTCTACCTTGGTTTCGCTGGAGGACATTATGGATGAAAAAAAAAAAGCTAGTAGGCCTCTAACATCAGATATAAAGAAATTAAATTGGATTATTGTCCAAGGAAATAAATTTTATTCAGACAGAGAAAACTCTACCTTTCTATTTTTCCACATATCTTTTTAATTTAAATGCCTAATAGTTAAAGGAAACCTCTTTTGATAAGGGCTCGGCCCTTAACTGAATGAGCAAGAGAGATCCTTGTTCTGTACTTTACATGCAAAACATAGAAAACTAATCCTAATTTTTCTGATATTTCTGTGTGTGAAAACAAGCAGATTTTCTTCATAATAAAAAATGTCTGGCCTTGTTTGTATATTATAAAGAAGCAAATTTGCATGTCACCTTTAAAGTGCATTTATGGTAAAATAAGCAATCTGAAATACCTTGGTGAGGTACTTCCAAACAAGATTTTTTTCTCCTAACAAAAATCTCTGAACTTCACTTTGTGTTTGGAACTATTCTGTGTAACACTATTAATAAATATTTTGGAATCAAGCATTAGCTGACAATTGTCTTTCCATATATGAGGCAGAACAGATGTCAGCTTGCTCTTCTGCAGTTTTATAGTTCACTAGATTTTTTCAGAAGAGGCTTTTCTGCCATTTGGCCTTATCTAGATGGGGCAGCCTCCTCTTTCAGTGGAGCCCGTATGCCTCGTGAAGTGAGGTATACGGGGCTCCTGAAAGAGTGCGTTTGCTCTTTTGTGAAAAAAATCAGAAGAGCAAACGTGTTCCTTGGACACAGCGGGGTTTTTGCAGGATAATTCTGGTATCCCACAAAAACTGCTTAGTCTAGATGTAGCCAAAGAATCTGAACAGAACTAATATATTTTTATAGATTAATTTATGAGCGAAACAAGACCTTAGTGTTTATTTCCCCTCATTGAAAGAGGGCCTATGCAGTTCTCATTAACATACTCTAGATTTCCACTGTATATCTATGAATCTGAAGTTGTGTACAGACAATACACACTCACACAAATACATACACATATTCTAAGACATCAGTGATTTACTATGCAAGATATACCTATCTATCATTTTATATAGCAAGACTGAGTTTCAAATATAATACTGTATGAAACAAATTATTTCAATTTAAAAATCACTAACCCTATAGGATTTTATAAACCCCTGCAATTCTGTCAAAATTCCCTACAGGCCAAAATGTTCTCTACTGGGTTAGTGGTGCCTCAATTGTCAGGAACATGATAGCAAATCTATAAAAACCTGCCCTTAGGATCAAGCCTCTTACAAGTGATATTGAATTTTGTATACTAGCAGCGACACTTTCCTCAGTATGGCATCTGCTGTTATCTAAGGAATGTACAGAAAAGTATCCACAGTTAACAAAGAGAAAGTTCCTGAGTGCTCAGTGAACAACAATGACGGCAAATTCACCATGTTATATTAATGCCCTATTCCTCACTGAAAGTAGAGCCATGCCATACTACAGACTGCTTCAATAAGTAATCTATAGCACAGTTTTAGAACCTACTATGGGGGGAGGGGAAGAAATCTTATGACCCTGTTAGCAATAACTATTTGGAAGCAATGGTGACTTGACTATTCTGTTTCCAACTCTTGTGCAAAGGTAAAGTTCATTTTTCTCACTTTGATAAGGTTTTCGTTTGTATATTCCTTCAGATGCGTACAGAGAAAAAGGAATAGGAACCCAAAGTTTTCAGATATTTGTATTAGTTCATCTTCCATTATAGGGGAGAAAAGATTAGTATTTTACATGCACTGCAATAAGAATAAAATAATTTCTAAAGATGGCTCTAAATCTTATACCACTTGGCTAAATATCGTATATCCTCTCTTACACAGTCATAAAAAGTGGCTTTGCTTTATACAGTAAAGCTCTATTGGTCTGGCATTCAATGCTCCGGCACTCCTGATGGTCTGGCACCGCCGAGGGGCGGCGCTACCGGACCAACCCGGCAGCACCCCAGCTGCTCTGCTGCAGGTGTCCCAGATTCAGCCACTGCTGAAACTGACCAGCAGCGGCTGAATCGGGGACACTTGAGGCAGAGCCGGACTATCAGAAGGGGGGGCTATGAGGGGTCTGGGGTGGCATCCCCCCCACCCTACCCCAGACCTCTCATAGCCCCCCCTTCCGATAGTCCGGCATATCTGATAATCTGGCACCCCCTGGGTCCTAAAGGTGCCGGATTATCGGAAGTTTACTGTGCTTGGCAATCTTGTGCAGTATTCAAAAGTAAGACTGAAGACACTATATCAGTTGGCTAACCAAAAACAATACCTCTAAGAAGCAAGTGACTGGATGGACAGAGGAAATGGCAATATATTAAAAATGTTCTCCAATTGGAGAACAAGCTGCCTACCTATAACTTATGCATTTCCGTGTTCTAGTAGACCGCCTTTCGAGCAGTTTTGATTTTGACTTTTTGGAATCTTTCTTCTTTTCTTCCAGACCTTCTGGTATTTCTGGCTCCTGTTGAAGTTGGATAACAAGAGTCAGACACATTAGGGCAGATGTCCCAGGGCTTTGTCTCCTCTCTCAAGTTTTAGGAGGTCTGAGCTAGAATTGTCTATTGTCATGTCAAACAGAGAAGTGGCGAATGCAAAACATTTCAAGTTTCCAAGTGGCTGCCTTGTATACAGGTACCTAGGTCACAGGTAGCCTGTTCTCCTTGTGGTTCTATACATAATAAGGGCAACACAAACTTTTAAGTTCCTGAACTGAGGATGCAGATTACAGTAACAAAACTGACAAAATGCTTCTAGTTGAGGTGACACTTTCAGGTTTTCTCCATGCTACAGTTGAACAAGACAATTGCTGATACATGTTTGCAGCCATTGTAAACTGGGATTTTTGTGCGCGCGCACTATTGATCACATCCTCTAGACAGCTGACAGCTCTTGCGAAAAAGATCCATATCACGCTCCCCTCCACCTCATTGCATACCTTTTTGTGGTACATTTTTAGTCCCCCTCTGGAAAGAGCTTTAATTCTATGCCATGATTGCCAGAATCTTAGTTTTCAACAAAAATGACCTCTGGGTTGAATTTTTTGCTCTTATCAAAAGGTGTGAGCTCACTTACTGGGCATGGATTAACTCATCTGTTAGAAAAATCACTTTAAGATGAGTTTGAGGGAAAAACACAAGTTCTGGAGGAGCAAAATATTTTTTCCCCAATCTGATTTTAAAAAACAAAAAAAGGAAGGTACACTTTCATTAAGACAAACAGTGAATACAATATCTAGTAACATAAGATTCTACTGATAGCAGGAGACAAGTTATCGATGTTATGGGCACTATAGCTTTAAATTTTCTGACTTTTGTGAATATAAAAACCAAAATCATAACACTGTTATTGTAGGCTTTTTGCAGAGTTAAGAGAATGCCAGACAGCAACTGGTTTTTTTAGAAAGTCCCAAATTATATTGGCACCAAAAACAAAGAGCTCGTCCTTTATTTAACAGTGTAGTTTAAAAAAGACAAGAAAATATCTTTGAGGATGCATAACTGACTTCCCTATTATCAGGAAAGTGATCATCAGAATTTTAAAAGGTAAATAATGTCTTAATTGCTAGTGGAGTATTTTACTTAGCACTATTCATAAAGTTTTAAGCTTTTAAAATTTGAACAAGTTTTCTCCACCCCAAAAGAAACCAACAACAATTAATATCTAAAAGGTGAGCCAATGAATTAATTCTCATCTACCTGTTAATTAATTCATTTGCCTTGAAAAAGCATTTGCCACTCCTAACATTTGAGTGTCTCCTCCCTGTGATCATACAGGGACTGTTGGGTGATAATGCAAAGCAGTCAATATCACTGTGACGTCACTTTTTGGAGAAGTCCAGATATTTTTTCATCAAGTTCGATATACTAAAAGGACTCAAATTATTTTCATTATCAATACATAAAACAGCAAATTGCAACACAGAGCAGTAAACTGTATTTAGTCTCTGATCCAGCAAAGAACTTAAACATGTGTTTAAGCACAACACTAGTTCTGTGTGGTAAAATTTTGAATGTAAATAATGTTGACAGTTTTCTTTTAAGAATGACAAAAATCTTAGGAAGTAAATCCCTTATTGCAGACAATGAAATAAAGAACAGAACACTTACTTGTGGTGGGATGATGTTCTCGATGCTGATGCCCACATACACCAATCGCTCTTTCCTTGGGAGAGAAAATTTTTTTAAAAATTGTTCACAAAAACTAAGATTAAAAAAAACCACTCTAATCAATAACATTCACAGCTGTTCATGCAGTCAGGAAGAAAGAGCCCTATGAGTTGTCTCACTGCAAACTACAAAGTTTCCAGACCTTGATTAACATTAGTAGTTAGTAGTAGCTAGGTCTTGAAGGTTCAGTTTCCTTTATATGTTAAACTGGTTACTTTACAGACAGTTCAGACAACCGCAAGTGTCTAAGAGGAACAGACACCAAGAAAAGAGAGTATTGTGTTAAATGTACATTACTTAAAGGGAAAGTTTAAAAAATATTTGACAAGGTAAGGAAACTGTTTCTGAGCTTGTTTCATTTAAATTAAGATAGTTCACAGCAGCATTTTTCTTCTGTATACTAAAGTTGCAAAGCTGTATTAAGTCAATGTTCAGCTGTATATTTCTGAAAGAACAATAACACTTTACTCAAAGTTATAAACATTTCAGTTAACTTCCATTCCTGAGGTGTCCTTAAACTTTGAGAATCCTACTGTACTATTAAAACAGAAAGCAAGAATTAAGGCCATAGTGCTATGCGTATGTGTTTTTCTCAGCTGAAACAGATCCTGAATGGATATATTGTCAATCAAAATCAGATCTTTAAAGTTGGCAATAAGCAGCTGCATGTGAACACACACAATTGCATGTCCAAATCACATTTGCATGCACTGTGTATGCATTTAATTATTCACACACAAGCAAATACCCGATATGCATAGTAACTTTAAATTTGTATGTGTTAGTTACAAGCAGACAGATAATAGTACACAGTTGCAAACATCTATGCAAGAAACTATATTTCCCAATGTTTACATTTATCTGATAGCAGATCAAGATTTTGAAATATACTTATGACTGCACATTTGAACAAGACTTCCTTTTGCCAATACTCTTCTAACCAACTAATTGCAGAGAGTATGTCCAATTTTATTTTTAGAAAAAACCTGTAAATATTGTTTCCAAAATAAAGTTGACATAACAGTAAACTAGATTCTGAATAGTTTTCCTAAAGCTGTGTAATGAAGCCACATGCTGTCATAATTTTATATTACTGCAGAGTAACACTTGTACTGATATTTTTGGCTTTATTTGAAAATACCTACTTTGCTATCTTAGTGCCAGTTCCCTAACCTTATAAATAAAAAAGAAACTTTCTCTCTCCAAGTGCTACGAGATCTGAGTGGGTGAAGAGAAAATTACTTCATTTGTTTAGCAGATTTGAATTAAGGGCAATGCATGAAAAATAATCTCTTAATGTAAAAGAAGAAGCTACGAAAGGGGAGAACACAAATGTAAAAGTTTTAATAATCAAAATTCCTTCTGTACTGGGATTCATTGCTTCTTCCACTTATTTCCCATGAAGCAATCAATCAATAAGGGTGCATTTAGACTACATTCCTCTTTTGAAAGAGGAACATGAATGAAGGAAATAAAAAATGCAAATGAAGCACAGATTTACAAATCTCGTGCTTCATTTGCATAATCACGTCTGATTGCTTTTTCGAAAAAGGTTTTTTTGAAAAAAAAAAAGCAGTCTAGACATGGTTTGTTCAAAAAAAACCACCCTTTTTCAAAACAACCCTTTAAACCTTATTTTTTCAGGAATAAGGGTTCTTTCGAAAAAGGGTTGTTTTTTCCCCCCTAAAGAACCATGTCTAAACTGCTTTTTTTTCCAAAAAAATCTTTTTCAACAAAGCGATTGGACATGATTATACAAATGAAGCATGAGATTTCAATTTCCTTCATTTACATTCCTCTTTTGAAAGAGGAATGTAGTCTAGACGCACCCTAAAAATAAAAAAATAAGTACAGTACAAGGGAATGAAGAGTAAAATTCTACCAGTATTGCTCCTAATTCGGATAGTCAGCAACCCTAACAGATTATTTAGGAAATTAGGGAATTTTTTAAAAAAGCATTAAAAACAGAGCCTGGAATGTTATAGCGAAGGGCTTAGGCAAATGAAACATGAACCTTCCTTACCAACAACAAACAAATGAAGGTTCAACATTTAAACCAGCAATTTTCAGATTGCCTATCATGGAGATGCATTGGCTTTCTTTATCTCTAATTTGCTCAACTGCACTGACTAAAAGAACCCAGATACACATTATCTCACACTATTATTGTTCTGCACAACTAACTGCACCAGTTGCCACGGGGACATGATATGACATTATGAATGAGAGGAGGCAATCCATGATACTGGGAATGGATGAAGAGGCGACCCTGAACAGGTAAGTAGTCCCAGAAGACAACAAATATTTTGTACACCCGCTGAAAAGATCTGAGAACCCCTGATTTAAATAGAAAACAGTATCGGCAAAATCTTCAGTGTCCTCTGCTTCCATCTGGTGGCAGAATATGGTTATAAAATGTTAGTAGACATATAAATAAATAAAACCCTTGAAATTCAATAAGCCCGGAGCAGGAGAAAAATATTCTGACCGAAGTCTACATTTTTGTCACATCTGTCATTGTAATCATGGAGTCAGTGGTTTTCATCTACTATGTATTTGTCTGTGTGTCTGTGTACGTGTGTTCAAGAACTCTTAATCAGTTAAGAGCTAGGACCACCAAATTCAGTATGCAGCTTCTTCTTATCATAACTTAAAGCAAGGTAAGAATTTGATTGTGGCCAGGAAAATGGGATGTGCCTAGAATGGGATTGCTTTTCATAAAACCATACAGAAATAGAATCAACAGGAAGGTGAAAAGGGCTGACTGGGGCTGCCTCTGCCCCATCCAGGATTGCCCCAGCCCCAAACCTCCCACCCTTGAGTTGCCCTTTAGAGAAGGCAGGGGGAAGGGGGGAACAGGGACTGAAGTGCACCCCCAAATTTGTACAGGGACATTGCTGTCAGCTCCCATTCATCAGGGAGTGAGGAGAAAGTGCACAGTTTGCTGCATTTCTCACTCTGGCTGAGGAACAGAGTGCACACAAGTTGTGCACTTTGCTCTCACTCCCTGACAGGGTCAGGAAGGGGAAGAGCAAGCAGCCCTAATACACCCCTGCCCACCTCCTTACAGAGATACACACAATCCCCTGCCCAGAGTGCCTCCTCACCCCCCAACTCTGATTCCAACACCTCCCGCATCCTCAGCTCACTGCCCTGAGCCCCTCCTTAAAGGACACGAGCAATGCCAGGTAAATGTGCTAGTTAAAAATTAGTTTCCCACAACCTGCCATTTTAGGGCTGTATTGATGT